GCCTACTCCTCCTTAATTTTTTGTTCTTAATCTGGAAACTGCTAAAGCTTATTCAGCTTGGGTCACCCTGCTGTTGTTTAAAATGCCAGGTATATAGCTTCCAGGATCACAGCAACATACAAGTCACTGCAATGTGAAAACTGACAGACAAGTGATAGAAGATAAAGCATGTTCTTAGCCCTAATTATGCTATAAAACCAAAAACCCACTGCCATGGGTAAATTATCACAAAACGTGGCCCTGTGTAGGTTTCCTGAGACTTCCAATCTGGTCCAGCATTCTGGCTATGTTTCTTCCAAGGCATACCTGTCTGCGCTTTTAGCAGTCCGTGGCACTCTCACCATTCTCACCTAAACCACAGTGCAAATGCACCAAGTCTCCTTCAGTCTCCCTTATTCAATGTCCAACTTTCACATGGATAGGAGGCAACTGAAACTGCCATGGCTTGGGTCAGGCTTGCCTTAGTCTTCCAAGAAACCTCCTTGCATTCCAACTCTGTAAAGAGTCCTTGAGCAGCAGATTCACCCATTACAATATATCTGTGATCTCTTGCCTGCTGTTTCCATGACAATTCATTGTGGACCCAAGCAAGATGAAATCCCGACAACTTCAAGCTTTTCTCCATGTATCATAATGTTACCTATTGGTCCAGCTATGATGATCTTGTTCTCCATTATATTGAGTTGTAATCCATACTGCAGGCCATAATCCATAATCTTCATAAGCAAATTCTTCAAGTCCTCCTCACTTTGACCAAGTAAACGTGTGCCATCTGCATGTTGTAGGCTGTTAATCCTTTCTCCAATCCTGATGCCACATTATTCTTTGTATAATTCAGCTTCTAGGATTAATTGCTCAGCACACAGGCTAAATATGGCGAAAGGATACAGTCCTGATGCACACCTTTTCAGATTTTAAACCATGCAGTATTCCATTGTGCTGTTCACACCACCACCCCGTGATCCATGTATCTGGTCAGACTGAGCCACTTGTAGATCTGCTCGAGCCACAGGTCAGAGTCTCAATTAGCCGTAACTATCAGGCAGAGACCATTATAATCTTGATTATGCTTGATCTAACGCAACATTTGGCCAGTTGACCACCCTGTAGATGTGACCTGAATTGGTTCTGGGTGCAAGTATTTCTTACTGGTTCCATGACAGAAATTTCTTCCTTGGATTTTGATTATTGTTGGGGAGTTTTTCCTTCTTATGCACTCTTAGTACTTTCGTGTGTACAGTATTATGTTTTTACCCCTACCACCTTAGCACCATTTTGTTTTGTATTGTTTTCTGTTGGGTCTTCCAGCTGTGATAATAATGGAGACCAGGAGACATAGGGAATACAGGCGGGTAGAGGGTGGGTTAGGGAGAGAAAGAGGATTTTAGGAGTAACTCATACAGATGGGAGTGGGGAGGGAGTACTAGAATGGACTGTGATGGAATGAAGCATCTTAAAGGTGATTTGACCATGGGGGAGGGGTGATGTTCTAAAATTGATATGGGGGTGATTGTACCATTCTCTGTGATATGAATGAATGATTGAACTATTGGATTATAGGATATATAAATTACGTGTGAATAAAACTGCTGGAAGAAAAGAGAAAAAAACATGCTCCCTTGACTCAGAGAGTGAGCTAACCATGCCTAAAAAAATAGGTTAATAGGCAAATATCTTACAATGTGATAATTACTATGAGAGACGTGTACAATGACAAAGTGACAGAACAATTAATTCTAATTCTGCCCAGTCACCATGTCTCATCTAAAATTGTGTTAACATGATCTCTCCCTGATATCAAGTTTAAACATCAGATTTCTTCCTCCCCCCACCCCCCAAACCTGCAGTGTGAAATACATTACTTTCTCGTTTATACTATTGCTAGTAATAAAAATGTTTTATATCTGAAAGTAGATGCTCAGCAGGAAAGAGGAAGCCCCTCGGTGAGATGAATGACACAATGGCTGTAACAATGGACTCCAACATATGTATGATAGTGAGCATGCCACAGCATGCTTCATTCGCTGTGCACAGGATCACTATG